AGGCCAGTGCCACCATGCCTAGCTAAAATTTGTATTTTTAGTAGAGACGGGTTTCACCATGTTGCCCAGGCTGGTCTCAAACTCCTGGCCTCAAGTGATCTGCCTGCCTTGGCCTCCCAAAGTGCTGGGATTACAAGCACGAGCCACCACGCCTGGCCAAATTTCACATTTAAAGTGGTTGAAAAATATATGAAAAGAATGATGCTGTGACACATTAAAAATGTATGAAATTCAAATTTCAGAGTCCGTAAGTGAAGTTTTAGTGGAGCACAACCACACTACTTGGTTAATGTGTTGCCTATGGATTCCTTGGTGCTAAAATGGCAGAGTGGAGAAGTTGCAGCAGAGAGTCCTTATGATCCAGCAAAGCTGAAAATGTTGCTGCCTTGCCTTTTATATAAAAGTTTAGACAGATGGTTCACTTCTCAACAGGTTCTACATAAGACAGAAAACAACAAATGATACCTTTGAAATGCTGAAAAAATGTAACCGCAAATCTAAAATTCCAAGCTTACCAAAAATATCCTCCCAAAATGAAGGTCAAATGAAAATATTTTTAGAAAAAAAAGAGAAGAGGCTAGGCATGGTGGCTCACGCCTGTAATCCCAGCACTTTGGGAGGCCGAGGTGGGCAGATCTCATGAGGCTAGGAGTTCGAGACTGGCCTGACCAACATGGAGAAACCCCGTCTCTCCTAAAAATACAAAATTAGCCTGGCATGGTGGCATATGCTTGCAATCCCAGCTACTCGGGAGGCTGAGGAAGGAGAATCGCTTGAACCTGGGAGATGGAGGTTGTAGTGAGCCAAGATCGTGCATTGCACTCCAGCCTGGGCAACAAGAGCAAAACTCCATCTCAAAAGAAAAAAATAAAAAAGAAAAACAAAAGAGAGTATGGCACAAGTATATCTGAGTAAAAGGAAATATTAAAGAGTGTTTTTTAGGCAGAAGAAAAATAATCTCAGATACAAGCTCAGCATTAAAAAAAACAAAGAGAAAGGAAAGGCAAAAACGTGGGTAAGTTTAAATGAACATTGACTGCATAAAGCATAATAATATTTTACGTGATTTGACATATATAGAATTAAAATATATAATTTCAATAATGTATGTGAGGTTAAATGGAATAAGCTGTTCTAAGATCCTTTTATTGCTTGGGAAGAGGGAAAAACCTATATATAACTATTGAATCACGGATGCAGACTTTCATCTCAGGGTTAATCACTGAACAAATAATTTAAAATGTTATGATTACCAAGTGATCAGAGAGGGCAAATAGAACAATAAAAAGTGATAAATCTAAAGAAAGGCATGAATGGAAAGAAAAAGAATACAGAATGGGCAAAATGCTTTCACAGTTAAATGTAAATGTACTATGTATAAATAGACTGAACACTCCAAAAGACAGGAACTGTCAGATTGGTTAAAATATTAACAATAGGCCAGGCGCAGTGGCTCACGCCTGTAATCCCAGTACTTTGGGAGGCCAAGGCGGGTGGATCACTTGAGGTCAAGAGATCGAGACCAATCTGGCCAGCATGGTAAAACCCTGTCTCTACTAAAAATAGAAAATTAGCTGGACGTGGTAGCAGATGCCTGTAATCCCAGCGACTTGGGAGGCTGAGGCAGGAGAATCGCTTGAACCCAGGAGGCAGAGTTTGTGGTGAGCCGAGATTGCGTCATTGCACTCCAACCTGGGCGACAAGAGCGAAACTCAGCCTCAAAACAAAAAAAAAAGAAAAAAAAATTAACAACATACTACTTATAAAATAAAGACAAAAAGTACAAGAATACACAGAAGGTGAAAGTGAGCAGATGAAAAAAGATATACCATACAAACAACAACCAAAAGAAAGATGCTGTAGTGATATTAACATCAGACAAAACAGACTTTAAGGCAAAAACTATTAAGAAATGAGATACTTCATAATGACAAAAGCCAATTTACCATAAAGATAACAATTATAACTTTGTATTTACATAATAACATAGCTTCAAATACAGAAAGCAAAAAATTAAATGAACTAAATAGGAAACAAATGTATAGTCTCACTAGCAGACTTTAAAAAATCTTTCTCAACTGATAGAATAAGCTGTAAGTACACAGATTTTAACAACGTAATTAACAAACTTAATCTCCTGACACATCTAGAAATTATACTTAATACGTATAGGCTATAAATTTTTTTCAAGAGCACAAAATGCTTACAAAATTCTGCAAAGACTGACATAATTCAGAGCATCTTGTCTGACCATAATAGAATTAAAGTTAATAAGATTGTTAGAAAATTCCCAAATGGCACAAAATTAAGAAAAACATTTAAAAATAACTGAAGGATAAAAGATATCACAATAGAAATATAACATATTTTCCACTCAAAAATTATGAAGATGCTACATAAAAAAATGTGATACAGTTCTGATAGCCCTAAACAATTAGAAAAGAACAGCTGAAAATCAATGATATAAGTTATCTAATTCAAGAGGTTAGAAAAGATCCACAAATTAAGCTCTAAGAATGGAATAAAATAATAAAGAACAGAAAGTAATAAAACTCAAACATACAAGAAAAAGGACTAAAAACAGTAATGTTTTTAAAAGCCAAGTAATGTCATGCATGGTGGCTCACATCTGAAATCCCAGCAATTTGGGAGGCCAAGGTGGGAGGATAGCTTGAGCCCAGGAGTTTGAGAACATCTTGGTCAACATAGTGAGACCCCTCTACAAAACATAAAAATCTTAGGTGGTGGTGTGTGCCTCTAATCCCAGCTATGTAGGAGGATGAGGCAGGAGGATCACTTGAGCCCAGAAGTTCGAGGCTGCAGTGAGCTATGATCATGCCACTGCATTCCAGCCTGGGTGACAGAATGAGACCCGGTCTCAAAGAAAAAAAAACAGTTGAGTAAGATTGATAAACTCTAGCAAGACTGAGTAAGATAAAATAAAGAAAACACAAAAAACCAGTATCAGGAATAAGAAGTGGCACATTACTTCAGATCCGTATAAACATTTAAATGATAAGCAGAAGATAGTATGCCAATAAATTTAAAAATTAAACAGAACAATCCCTAAACATAATTTGCTAAACTAAAACAAAAAGAAATAGGAAATAGGAAAAGTCCTAAGTACTGAAGGTATACAAGCTATAATTAAACACTTTTCCCAATAAAAGCTTCAGGCCAAGATGGCTTCCCTGGTGAATTCCACTACCATAAAAAATAACTTTCCCTCTCTCACAACTTTTTCTTCTCTCACCATAAGCTGATGATCTTGCCTCACATTTTAGAAAATATGGCAGCTATCATAATAGCGGCCTCAATCTTCCTGCCCTCAACTGACCTGCAGGTGCACCCATCTTCTCCACCTTTCTCAGTATTACAACACAGGAGGTGACCTCTCCACCTATTAAAGGTAAATCCCCTTTCCATTCTAGATTTTATCTCCTTTAACCCTGTCAAACACTTTAGTCCTTCATCTTTGTCTTGCAACATCAATGTCGCTCTCTCCATTAAGGCGATCCTATCAGCACTCAAACATGTCATAGCAGCTCCCATCTCAAAAATAAAACAAGTGTTTTTTCTTGACTCCATTCTTTCCTTTAGCCACTGCTCCATTTCTCTTTCCCTCTTCACAGGGGAAAAAAAAGTCCCTCTCTAAAAAGTTATCTAAAACTATCTCTAATGTCTACTTTTCACTCAATCTTTTAAGCATAAATAATATCTGATATATAAAAATATGTAATGCATGTGTGGGTTGTTCATGGCATCATAATAAAATGAATCAGAATCTATTTATTTCTTTCCATCTCCACTACCATCACCCTAATCTTCCTCTCATCTCCTGGATAGACTATTGTAACAACCTTTTAACTTACTGCCTGCTTTATGCCTCAAGTTTAATCTCTATAAACAGGGTTATTTTCTAAAAACCCTGCAGTAAAATCTCTCCATGCTTTGGAATTCACTTAGATCATCTACAAAGCCCTGCACAGGCAGGCTCCTACATCTCTAATCTTATTCTGTACCAGTTTCCGCTCACTTTAGTCACAGCAGCTTCCTTTTGATTTCCAGAATACATGGCCTTCTTTGCTGTATTAGATCCTTTGCATTGTTGTTCCCTTAGCCTGGAATACTTCCCTTTTCCTCTTCCCCTCCCTGGCTTCTTCTTCTGACCCTTCAGGTCTCAGCTCAAATGTCACCTCTTCAGAAGCTCCCCTGACCACCCTGTTTGAAGGTGTCCTCATCCCACCCCAGTTACTCTTTCCTATCCTCCAATTTATCTCACAGCTGGGAGGTATGGCAACCATCATTTAGTTTGTTTTTATTTATTTGCCAAATTTCTGTTTCTCAAAATTTAATCTTCATGAAGGCAGGGACCTGGTCCATTTTATTAGGTGCTGTAGCCCTTGTACCTAAGCCAGTTCACAGCATATAGATGTATAATATTGATTAAATACATCAATACTATATTTTGATTCTCAACTGATTTCTTGTTTGTATTCTCAATTAGTTAAGAACCTGGAGGACAGGTGGTGGGTTCCTCTAAAGTTTCTGCAGCCTTGCAGGTGAAGAAAACTAAATAATGAGTAAATAAGTTTGCCTTAAGAGAAATCAGTGGGGACCCTTATGAAAGCATTTTCAGGCAAATGAAGGAAGAAATGTCAGATAATGGTGAAACAAATGAGAAACATAAAGTTAACTGGAGAAGATAGACCTGAAAGGGATATTTTGTGTATGTTTGAATGAAGAACAAAATAATAATTATGAAAAGCATGTCCCCAGGAAAGCAGAATAGGATGAGATGGTTCCCAAAAGTGGAGGACAGAGAGAGAGGATAAGAGAAGATGGGGGTGAGAGAGACAGGCAGCGAGATGGGGGATCTCTTCCTCTGAGACAGCTTTGAACAAATATATCTTTAAAATTTTTTCAGATGTTGTGTTGAACATCCCCCTATAGTCTGTTACTTCAAATAAATCCCATCTTCTTGGTTCTGTTTAACTCACCAGGATAGGGAATTCTTGAAATTTCTGTCATTGTCACCCATGGTTCTTTCCCATTCTCCAAATGAGATATCATGTCTGGTTTGGAAACTGCAAGCCCTGTCCAGAGAAAAATAAACAGGTTTGATTGGAGCCATGAGCAAGAACTCCTGCCAAATTCAGTCTCAGTTCTTAATCTTCCATGCAGAATGACCATTACAGGAAGCTCTAGAGCCGCACTGTCCAATACAGTTGCCAGTTGTCACATATGGCTATTTAAATTTGAATTTAAATTAAATAAAATTAAGTAAAATCTAAAATTCAGTTCTTCAGACGGACTAGCCAAATTTCAAGTGCTCAAAAGGCACAAGTGAGGCTGGGTGCGGTGGCTCATGTCTGCAATCCCAGCACTTTGGGAGGCCGAGGCAGGCGGATCACGAGGTCAGGAGATCAAGACCATCCTGGCTAACACGGTGAAATCCCATCTCTACTAAAAATGCAAAAAATTAGCCAGGCGTGGCGGCGGGCGCCTGTAGTCCCAGCTACTTGGGAGGCTGAGGCAGGAGAATGGCATGAACCCCGGAGGTGGAGCTTGTAGTAAGCTGAGATCGCGCCAATGCACTCCAGCCTGGGCAACTGAGCGAGACTCCGTCTCACAAAAAAAAAAAAAAAAAAAAAAAAAAAATAGGCACAAGTGACTAGTACCTGCCATATTGTACAGTGATGTTTTAGACAATTACAAAGACATCCCAAAGGAGTTCAACACTATGATTCTGGTTTGGTGGGATAACAGATTATGGGAATAATCTAGTGAATTTAGAAAGAAATTGAATACATTTGTTTCTTTCTTCTAGAGGTACTGATAACTTCCATTTAAGGAAGTGACTAGAAAATACTTCGGTCCAAAATCTGTGGGGTTGTCAACAATCTCCAAGATTCCAGAGAAGTATGTTTCTTACTCTACAATGGGCAGATCATGTAGTTAAAAGTGAGGAATAGCATAACCCAACAATGTGCCCCTAAGATCAAGTACTTCAGTTAAATACTTTAGAGGCCTTTTATCTTTGGCAAACCCGGTCAAATGGGCAGATCAATCAACACAGAAGAGAAGTTATCCTTACCCAGGGAGACCAGATTCCTGTAATTCTCTAGCATCACATCCTTGTGCAGGTTCCTCTGTGTAGGGTCCATCAATCTCCACTCCTCCAATGTGAAGTCTATAGCCACATCCTTAAATGTCACTGATTCCTAAAACAATTACACTGTGATCATTTAGAGACTATACAATTAGACTTGTTAGGCAGAATTATACATTAAAAACTGGGGAAGAGCCCCAGAAACCAGAATCACCAAATGATTATGTAGGTCAACCAGTTCATCCCTTATAGGATGTATCAATCTCTCCAGTGACAAGAACTTGAAGCCATAATATGCTGCCTATATAATCTTCAGAGTTTCATCTGATAGCAGAATTTCTTTTCAGACCAAGTCTGGCTTCCTATCAATTATAAAGATTGGCTCCACTATATTATCTGGAGTCAAACAGCATAGTTTCCTCCTTCCCTAGAAAGTATTTAAAATATTTGATAACAGCGAGCAGTTTCTACCCAAATCATCTTTCTTCCTTAAAACCCTGGCTTATCTAAAATATCAATTTTCTTTCAGTTCTAATCTATAGACTATGACTTACTAAAAGATATATTTTATCATTTGTATTATGGATATAGAATACTATAAGCTTTCTCTTTGAAAAAGAAAAATAAAAAATCAAGGAACTTTGGGGAAGTTCTTTGGTCAGGATATATACACATATTAAAAAATGGAAGACTAGGCCATAAACATTTTTAATGGTTACCTACTGGAGAAAAGAGGGAGCAGAGAGGACTGGAATGAAGGCTAGACTCCTTTGGCTATTTGTTTTGTAGATTGGACTTTTGGACCATTTAAATACTTTATATTATAAATAAAATTTAAAAAAAAATCCTTAAAAATTAAGAGTAACATGAAACCAGGTGGTAGCATACTCATTCATTAGAGAGGAACTATTTTGAGTGATTTTAATAGAGTAAGTTTTCTGTATATACCTCACAAGATACACCCTGAGAAAAATAACTGCAAAATAAAAACAAAACCAAAATATTTTCAGTAAATAATCATATTAATTATAGTGACAGACATGCTATTATGTACTGTTGTGTGTGTAGTGCTGGATAAAGCAAATCAGCATACTGATGCCATTGAGAACTAATACATTTGGCATGGGAGAAAGAAGACAGAAATGTACTATTGATAAGATTAGGTTAAAAACTCCATAGTTCTGAATTTGAATAGGAAGTATCACTAGAGATTCATGAAGCATTTTAAGGGGAAAAAAATATTTCCTAGCTTCAGCCACTGAAAAGGCCCAGAAACCATAACTAATAAGGTGGCACTATGCAAACCAGACTGTAGGCTCTAAATATTACTTCCGCCTAAAAGGAACCAGGGCCTAGAACACCCTGACACATCAAAAAGCAAGGAAGGTATCAAAGACTACTAGGGTCATATATAAGACACAGGAAACAACTTGAAGAGGCTTCCACTGGCGAATGATGTGACAATTTGAGCATCAATAAGGATAATAATTGCAATGGATTTAAAAAATATCTAATACAGTTATATTCATGATTCATTATTTTAAAAATCTCATCTATCATTTTTGGAGAATACCTGGAAACCGGTAAGTAAAGAGAAAGAATCAAACTTTCATCCTTTCTTACCTATGCAAAGTATACATAGTTTGTATTATAATCAAACATAATTAAGTAGTTGATGAGGGAAGGTTTTTCTTTATGGAAGTACTCTTAACTAATAAATGAAGAAGGAACAAAAGAATTAGAACATCACAATTTGCAACTTCTAATGAATTAAAGAACCATCAGCAGCTGCTAACATAAAAGAAAGGCCTCAGTTTGATGGTGTACGTCTTCTGGTGGCATATACCAGCAATATGAAATGACATTGCTGAAAATATTTTAAAAAATCAAAATCTCAGCCGGGTGCAGTAACTCATGTCTGTAATCCCAGCACTTTGTGAGGCCAAGACAGGAGGGTCATTTGAGCCCAGGAGTTCAAGACCAGTCTAGGCAACATAGGAAGACCCCATGTCTACAAAAAATAAAATAGAATAAATTAGCTGGACATGGTGGTGCGTGCCTGTGGTCCCGACTACTTGGGAGGCTTATATGGGAGGAGCCCTTGAGCCCAGGAGGTCAACAAAGAGACGCTGTTTAAAAAAAAATAAATAAACAAAAAACATCAAACTCTGAATCTGATCAAGGATCTAACTAACAATTTAAAAGCAATACAGATGGGGCAGAGGGGCATGTTAAATAATTCCATGGGGATGTAATCAGTAAAATCCGTATCTTGTGAAATACTAAATTTATGCTGTCCAATAAAAATAAAAAGCAAGCCATATAGGTGATTTTATATTTTCTAGTAGCCACATTAAAAACAAAAAGAAACAAGTAAAATTAGTTTTAATAATGTTTTATTTAATCCAAATATATAAAATGTTATTTCAAAATGCATCAAAACAAAAACTCTTAATAAGATAGTTTACGTTATCTTATCATACTGTCTTTGAAATCTTGTGTGTGTTTTAAATTGACAGACCATCTCAATTCGCACTAGTCATGTTTCAGGTGGTCCAGTGTCACATGTGGCTAGTGGCTTCTGTATTAGACAACATAGCTCTAAAGTACCAATAACCTGGTTTCTTTAATAAACAGTTACAAAGCGGTAAAAGAAAGAGGGGGAAACTTCAGCATTAAAAGTGACCTAAGAGGCATATTAACCTATTGGGAGCAAGTCCCCCAAAATCTGGCCATAAACTGGCCCCAAAACTGGCCATAAACAAAATCTCTGCAGCACTGTAACATGTTCATAATGGCCCTAACGCCCGCGCTGGAAGGTTGTGGGTTTACTGGAATGAGGGCAAGGAACATCTGGCCTGCCCACGGTGGAAAACTGCTTAAAGGTGTTCTTAAGTCACAAACAACAGCATGAGCGATCTGTGCCTTCACGACAAACTCCTGCTGCAGTTAACTAACCCAATCTATTCCTTTAATTCAGACCATCCCTTCGTTTCCCATAAGGGATACTTTTAGTTAATTTAATATCTATAGAAACAACGCTAACGACTGGTTTGCTGTTAATAAATATGTGGGTAAATCTCTGTTCGGGGGTCTCAGCTCTGAAGGCTGTGAGACCCCTAATTTCCCACTTCACACCTCTATATTTCTGTGTGTGTCTTTAAACCCTCCAGCACTGCTGGGTTAGGGTCTCCCTGACCGAGCTGGTCTCCGCAAGTGGTGTCCATTCGTGGGGGCTCGAATCCAGGTCGAAGGGTCGCTGGAGCGATGGTTGGAATGGAAAAACTAAGCTGGAGGACACCCGAGTACTCTTAAAGCAATCCCCGTGGTGAGTGAGAAGGGAGCTCAGAAGCGTCAGGGTAACAATAGGACAAGTGTGGGGTCTGGTTCGTTTCACCTGGGAACTTTTTCACACTGATGATGAGGAGGAAGGAGAGCATGGCAAAGTAACAGAAGAGGTTACAGAGCATGTTTATTTGCAGTTAAAGCTAAAGCGGCAAAGGAGGGAGAGGTTCATCCCTACCCTTCTGCACCCCTTCAACATTATTTTGAAGAAAAAGACCCTCCAGATCTTTCTTTTCTGGAGGACACTGGGTAAAAAGTAGTTGCCCCAGTGACTGTTTGAGCAGCACCTTGAGCAACTGCTCTTAGTTCTATTCAGGCAGGAATTCAGCAAGCTAGACGAGAGGGTGATTTAGAGGCTTGGCAATTCCCTGTTCGAATACACCCCCCAGATCAACAGGGAAATATTAGTTACATTTGAGCCTTTCCCTTTTAAATTACTCAAAGAATTTCAATAAGCTATAAATCAGTATGGACCAGGTTCTCCTTTTGTATTGGGACTGTTAAAGAATGTTGCTGTTTCCAGTCAGATGATACCTACTGACTGGGACGCTCTTACTGGAGCTTGTCTAACTCTTGCTCTTACAATGTAAAGCAGCATTCTCCTGCTTACATTGTAAGAACATCTCCTGCTTACATTGTACATCTCCTGCTTACATTGTAAGAACTCCTGTTCTTACAATGTAAAACTCGGTACGCAAATGAAGCTTACATTCAGGCTGCTCACAATGCCCAGGCCCAACCTCAAATTAATATAACTGCAGACCAACTTTTGGGGGTTGGCGGCTGGGCTGGCTGAGATGCACAAGTGGTCATGCAGGATGATGCCATAGAACAGCTTAGCAGAGTGTGCATTAGAGCTTGGGAAAAAATCACTTCAGGTGGAGAACAATACCCTTCCTTTAGTGCTATAAAATAGGGACCAAGAGAACTATACGTTGATTTCGCAGCTCAGTTACAGGAGTCTTTTAAAAAGATGATTGCAGATTTGGCTGCTCAGGATACAGCGTTGCAGTTACCTTACTAGCTTTCGACAATGCTAATCCTGATTGCCAGGCTGCTCTGTGACCTATCAGAGGGAAAGCACATGTAGTTGATTATATCAAGGACTGTGATGGTATCGGAGGTAATGTGCATAAAGCTACTCTGTTGGCACAGGCAATGGCAGGACCGAGAGTGGATAAAGGAAATACTCCATTTCCTGGAGCTTGTTTTAACTGTGGGAAGCATGGTCATACTAAAAAAGAATGTAGAAAAAATCAGCAAGTCAGGCTACCAGATAGGGGAAAAAAGAAAACTGCTGATCCTGAAATATGTCCAAAATGTGAAAAAGGAAAACACTGGGCTAATCAATGTCACTCTAAGTTTGATAAAGAAGAGAACTTGATTTTGGGAAATGCCATGAGGGGCCTGTCCTGGGTCCCCTTCTAAACCGGGGCATTTCCAGCTCAGGTCATTCCCTCACCCTTGTACAATGTCTGTCCTCCGCCACAGCTGGTGGTGCCACAGTAGATTTACGCTGCACAAAAGCTGTAAGCCTTCTGCCTGGGGAATCCCCACAAAAGGTCCCAACAGGAGTCTGTGGACCCTTGCCGGGGGGACAAGAGGATTACTTTTAGGAAGGTCCAGTTTAAGTTTAAAAGGGGTACAAATACATACAGGAGTCATTGATTCAGATTACAATGGGGAAATTCAAATCGTTATAGCTACTTCTGTTCCCTGGAAAGCAGAGCCAGGAGAGCGTATAGCACAGCTCCTGATTGTGCCATA